TTCCATTCCATTCCTGCTTTCCTTTCCTTTCCTTTCCTCTCCTCTCCTCTCCTCCCCTTCCTCCCCTCCCCTTCCCTCCCCTTTCCCTCTACCCTGAAAGATATCAGAACGAGGGTTAAGATTTCCACAAGGTCCTCCCTCTTCAGATTACCTTAATAGCAACGAGGACTTCGACTTGGCTTCTGATGTTTTTTCACCCACCTGATGACGTGCTTAGACTAAGGGAAGCTTCCTTCCAGAGGTAGCCCTCAGCTTACCACCATTCACTCAGAGAGCATTCAAAGTTACAACAGGCACTGGAAAAAAGTGACTTAACTGCTGTCACAGCAATTCCCTGGTTCACATGACGCACGATTTGGAAGCTTGACAACTGGCATGTATTTATGACAGTTGCAGTGTCCTGGGGGAAAGTCAATGGGGGAAGCCTGGTTCATTTTAAAGGGCCGTTTGATTCACTTAACAACTGCAGTGAATCACTTAACAGCCGTGGCGAAAACAGTCGTAACACCAGGCACGCCTCATTTAACAACCAATTTGCTTAGCCACAGAAATTGTAGACTCCGCTGTGTGGCTGTAAGTTGCGGACTCCCGTGTGAGACTGTAGGGAGCCAACACAGTATAGCTTTGGGGATGAGAGTCTGAATGAAAATGTAATGAACCTGCGTCATGTTTCTGATTTACCTTGTGTGATTGTCCCGGTGATATTGAAGCATTTCTTCTGGAGATTGTTGCATTTCATTTGTTTGCCGTCACATTCTTTCTTATCGAGAGCGAAGCACGAAGGGCAAACGAGGTTATCGGTGGGAATAGTCTTGCTAATATCTGGAACAGTTAAAATATCAATACGTTAGCACCGAGCTGAACCTTCGCCCCTATTTCCATGAGCAAAATTATCCCAGGGGTATTTGTGAAGGGAAATCTTATCCAGTTCTGTCAGATACCAAAATTTGTATTTGTATTTGATTTGATCCGATTCCCTGCGTGATGAACGGCACGGTTCTGAAGCAGCAGCTGGAGGTGTGACTCCTGGTTTCGATTTAATGGAGATTGAGGTCTACTTACCTGAGATTTAGACAAATAATAATAATAATAATAATAATAATAATAATAATAATAATAATAATAATAATAATAATAATAATAATAATAATAGCAGCAAGGCGGTCTGGGGAATTCTGGGAGTTGAAGTCCGCACATCTTAAAGTTGCCTAGGTTGAGAAACATGGTCCCAGACCATTGGCTATCCAATCTTTGCTTGAAAACTCCCAATGATGGATCTATCCAAACTCCAGGAGATAGGTTATCCAACTGCTTCATAACAGTCAGGAGATTCCACCTTACCAAGTTTGCATATCCCTCTACATAGCTTCAACCTGTGACTTCTTGTCTGATTTTTAAGTGCTAGGGAGAAAAAAAAAAATCTACACCCTCTTCCCTGTGGCAGCCCTTCAAGAACTGGAAGACTGCTGTATTTTATGATGAACCTAAAGACTCAATAAATGTTATAATAATAATAGTAAAGTTGGAAGGGACCTTGGAGGTCATCTAGTCCAACCCCCTGCTCAGGCAGGAAACCCTATACCATTTCGGACAAATGGCTGTCCAGTCACTTCTTAAAAACTTCTAGTGTTGGAGCATTCACCGCTTCTGGAGGCAGGTTGTTCCATTGGTTAATTGTTCTAACTGTCAGGAAGTTTCTCCTTAGTTCTAGGTTGCTTCTCTCCTTGGTTAGTTTCCACCCATTGCTTCTTGTCCTGCCTTCAGGTGCTTTGGAGAATAGCTTGACTCCCTCTTCTTTGGGGCAGCCCCTGAGATATTGGAACCCTGCTATCATGTCCCCCCTCGTCCTTCTCTTCATTAAACTAGACATACCCAATTCCAGCAACCTTTCCTTATATGCCTTAGCCTCCCGTCCCCTAATCATCTTTGTTGCTCTTCTCTGTACTCTTTCTAGAGTCTCAGCATCTTTTTTACATCGTGGTGACCAAAACTGGATGCAGTATTCCAAGTGTGGCCTTACCAAGGCATTGTAAAGTGGTATTAACACTTCACCAGATCTTGATTCTATCCCTCTGTTAATGCAGCCCAGCACTGTGTTGGCCTTTTTGGCAGCTGCAGCACACGGCTGGCTCATATTTAAGTGATTGTCCACTAGGACTCCGAGGTCCCTCTCACAGTTACTACTATTGAGCAAGATACCCCCTATACTATATCTGTGCATTTGGTTTTAATAGACAAATTAGACATTCAAGCCTAATTTGTCAAGCCTTGTTTACCTTGGGAGTTTACCTGCTGCCTTATAAACACAGTCACCGAAGTATGTAGCAAGAATTCCATCCAGAGGGTTTGCTATTAAAATGGGAGCAGGCTGAAATGGGAATGGGGAATACTAAACATAAAAATAAAAGCAGATTTTTTTAAAAAAAACACAAAGGTGCCACTTACTTGTAATGAGATTTTGATTGCATAGATCTTTGTCTTTACAGCATGTAACGTTGCTCCCCAGATAAAAATCTTGGTCAGAAGACATGAAGACAAACCCTTGTTTGCAGACATTAGGCTCCACTTTGTCATCCTGGCACCCTCTAATTATTGCTTTAAGTGGCTTGTCTTTCTCTGCAGAGAAAGGGAAGGAAAAAAAATTGTGTGACAAAGGAACTGAAAAGACAACCATGGGCATTTGTTAAAAAGCACTTCTCCATAGTCCCAAAGGTGATTTTCAAAGGGCAACTGCACTTTCTTGTTGTTGTTTTTCTTTGAAAATGTTTCTCGAAAAAGCTTCTTGGAGGAGAAGAGAAATGTTTTTAAGGGGGGAAAAAGCCGAGAAAGTCCAATTGCCTTTTTAAACGCTCCTTCGGTTTGGGTTACTCGAAACTTAAATACTATGGATGTTAAAGGTTAAATTGGAATACCATAATTAAAAATTAGGTAAAACTTAATGTAAAAAAGATGCTGAGACTCTAGAAAGAGGGCAAAGAAGAGCAACAAAGATGATTATTGGACTGGAGGCTAAAACTTACAAGGAACGGTTTCTGGAATTGGGTATAACTAGTTTAATGAAGAGAAGGACGAGGGGGGACATGATAGCTCTGTTCCAGTATCTCAGGGGCTGCCACAAAGAAGAGGGAGTCAAGCTCTTCTCCAAAGCGCCTGAAGGCAGGAGAAGAAGCAACGGATGGAAACTAATCAAGGAGAGAAGCAACCTAGAACTAAGGAGAAACTTCCTGACAGTTAGAATAATTAACCAGTGGAACCACCTGCCTCCAGAAGCGGTGAATGCTCCAACACTGGAGGTTTTTAAGAAGAGACTGGACAGCCATTTGTCCGAAATGGTGTAGGGTTCCCTGCCTGAGCAGGGGGTTGGACTTGATGACCTCCAAGGTCCTTCCAACTTTATGATTATGATTATGATTATTATGAGGATATGGATATGTATAAGCAAAAGATATATTGATAAATGTCTCAACTGAGCATGTTGTAATTAGAAATTTACTTGTTTAAATATGATGTAGCAAATGTTAAGGGAAATAGAGAAGGAATTTTTGAGGATGTCACCTGACATATGTACTAAAGATTTTGTTATCGAATTATTGATTACCCAATCACCACACTGCTTTCTAAATACTTATGTCAACGCTGCAAATACTGTATATTCTTGCTTTGACAATATGCAGAACTGTCTGGTATTTCTGGGGTTAATACAGAGCAGAAGAGAGTGGGGGGGGGCAAAGTTAGGGAAAGAAAGAGGAAGGAAATCTTTGACCTTCACACTAATTGGATAATGTGATATATGACGGCTAATTTAGGGAGGGAACATGCTGATAATTTAACTGCTCAGAGGAAGAGAACTTAGATCTTAGCATGAACTCCGTTGTGCCTGTGCCGACATTTTGTAACAATAAATTACTTTTAGGAAAATCAATGCCTGGAAGTTCTTTGAAGTGTTTCATTAGCCGGAACCATAACAACTTAAATGGAAAACTGGAAAACCAATAAAATTTGCTATATATATATATATAAAAGAAAAGCTTCTTTGGGACAACCAGAACCTGGATGATTGAGAAGCTTCATAGACGCTTCTCAGGAGACTCCAGGTGTGGGGTTAGGAAGGATCCTGTGCCTCCACCTTTTACATCTACAGAGATAAGGGTGATTTTCCCCAACAACTAGACCTGGTGTACATTTTTACAATCTCCTGGTATTGTGGAAAGATAAGTTCAAGGACTTTCTCGGCCACGTTTTCCCTGCCATGTTGCTTAAACGTCATCTCTACTTTTTTAATTTTTTCCCCCCCTTAAAGCTGAGACATCTGCCAAGGGCATTTAAAAAGTTGTTTGAACAGCAGAGGTGTGGATAATTAAGTCCATGCGAGCACTCCAGTTTTAAATGAACAGAGACTGCAGTAGGGCTCATGGGGGGGGGAGAGAATGTATATAAAAAATATATCAATGAAATGGTGACTATTAAAGGAGACTCCCAAATACAGGCATTTCCGTGCGGCAGAATTCGTACTTGTGTCTTCGGCTTTTTTTGGATTGTGTGAGAACGGCAGCGTGGCTTTTCTGTAAAGGGAAGCAGGGCAGCTTTCCTTGTTTTGATAACTGTTAGCTCTTTTACTAAGGCAAAAATGAGACTTTTCCAGGAGATTGTCCAGAGGCCAGGCTAATGCGGATGCTGGAAAATTTGTCTCTAGCCCTGTTTTTCTCAGAAGTGAGTTGGCGTTGGGCACTGATCTTCTCCTCTCCTCCTTCTCTCTTCCTTTCCTTCTCACTTCCTTTCCTTCTCACTTCCTTTTCCTTCCTTCCTTCCTTCCTTCCTTCCTTCCTT